TAGTTTTTGCCTGTCCCTTTGATCTAATTATCTGACTTCTTTTTTTTACACATTCATCTCCATATATGAATATATGTATATATATATATATTAACAATAACAATATATTTATTGAAAATAGAATGAAAATCAACGATAGAATTGGGTGATTATTCAAAAATATGCATACCAAATATTTTTCCAGTTATGCTTCTCTTTGCAACTTAAGACGTTCAGCATTCAGAAACGAGAAAAAGAAAGGAAGAGACACTTACCAGGCAAAATAAGAAAAAACTGTACCGAAAAACGAAGTATTTTTGACCTCAAAATATACAATGGCTTGTATATTTTGAGGTTAAAAATATATTGAAAGTATAGACTGTAACATGAGCATGGAATTTTGACAATTTACACAAAAATTTTTTAAATGCGTGGCTTTTTTAATTTCGTCAAAGGGGTACATTTCAACTTATATTTTGATAAAATACAAGAAGGTTCGTGAGCGAAGTGTGATCGTTCTTTCGCGACAAATATTAATCATCTGCATAATACTTTGTCAGAAAATGAAAGGAACCAACAAAACTCCAACATATTTGTTGTTTTCTTTTCCCGATGTCTATTCAGTATTTTTGTAAATATGGATATTCAAGGTCACTGTTTATATTGCTGGTGTGGTACATTATCCTGGATATAAATAGTGTGTGTGTATATATATATATATGTAAATACACAAGTAAAGTGTGTATATATATATATAAATACACAAGTAAAGTTTTTAAAAAAAAAGATAAACTGAGAGTTCTGGAAAATTTTACTTCAAAGAGATGATTAATTTAAAGTAATTTAAAATAAAATATTTTGCTATGGTGATTTTTGACCCAGTACTGAACTATATTTTGACCAGTCAAGAACTAAAGTTTCAGCTGTTCCACTTGTGGTCAGCGGGAAGTTTAAGGACGTACAACTCTAAAATTCGGATTTTTGTTCCTCACGGCGGACAGAGTGCAGACAGCTTATTGTGTAGCTTTGGGATAAAACAACAACAATTTCGATGCATGTCTATGACAGGTAATGTTTGATAAAGAGCCTTTATGTGTCTAGGTGAGGGAAATAGTTTGGTACGTATTTAATTTGTACACATTCCCACTGTTTTAAAATAACCGAAAAATAGTGTTGTTTGAGACTATCTACCTTTTCAGTTAAAATTAGTATTTGAGGTTTCTTCACGTGGTAAAGATACAGCCCTTAATGTGGAATATATAACGTGTTATCTAATAATGAGCATATAGTTTTCCAATTACAATCCATAGCATCACAAAATGTTAATACAGTTGAAATATTTACCTCAAAATTATTAAAATAATATATGAATAAAGAGATTAATCCTCAATCATTATATATGCTTCAGATTTAAAATAATTAAGCAAGAGATATTTCCCGTGAAAATTTTATATTTCGTTGTTTATTCAAAGTGAGATAGCCGAAATGTTTATAGGATAAACAAAACACGAACTATGAACGGCGTGTGTGCAACATGAAATGTTCGCAAAGTTGTTGGTGAGAACTGTGCATATAAATCAGCAGTAAAACTTCTGTATACAAAACCGTTTATATTTTCTTCTTTCAAGCTTAAGCCTATTTTCATACTGCATATTGTCTATTAAATGCTTTCTTTGCTAAGGTTTGTCTCTTATAAGCTTAAACCTGCTTTGGAATAAAGTTGTCGTTAATTTGTGATTAAAGATGTTTCTGAACATTTCTCATATAGTGACGTTTCAAAATTACGATATTAAACCGCAGAAAGTTGCCTCAAAAATAAATGCACGTGTAATTAAGTCCTCAATTCTCCTCTGTTCCAGTTTCAAACTGGAGTGTATATGGTATGTACTTCTTCGACAATCACTTATTACAGAGGAAAAGAAAACAGTATAAATAGTAGGAGATTGTTTAAGTAATATTAATGACAAAATGAAAAAGGCTGTTTAACGATCCGGTATATGCAATAAGAGCGCATTAGTTATGCATAAACATGCTTTCCTTCAGTATTTCTTTTCCAGCGTCTATTTTGCTATTGCGAACATTGTTCTGATGTTAGAAGCTGTGTAAGCTTACAATTTGCTTTATTAATAATATATGACATTCAAATTGAAATACATATGCTATGTACAATATCAAGGGATTTATTTGAAATCCTTGTATCATAGACGACGGCAGGTTTCATCATCTATACATACACTGACTGGGCATTTAATTAAAACTCTTAACCTAATATCGAGCTAATAATAATAGCTTTATTAGTTACATGATGAGAAGATTGGGATTTTTCTTTCAATAGCGCCTGCATAACCTTTTTATGCTAGGATATAAACTTGTTAATTGGGAATACGTTTCACTCGAGTCGGATCTGGCTTTGTGGTTAGCGTGCTGGGCTACTGGTTCAAAGGTCTGACGTTCAAGCCGTGATTTCACTGAACTCGCCCCAAACAATTAGTTGTGCACTCGTTATAAAAGTAACAGTTAATCACACAATTATGTATGAGCTGGACAAAGCTTCTGTGTCAGAGTGAGCTGCTGATTATCTGGCTACCCATTCTCTGATCAGTAGTTCAAAATCAGGGATAAAATTCTAATTCCGATACATATTGCTAAACAGACGTACGATGTTGCTTACAAGTATATCTGAAGACCAATATCAATATTCCAGAACATTCTTGCAGCTTGAGCTAAGGAGATCTAAGGTGATAGTTTCATAGCTTACAATTCTTTATCAAAACCTATATATAGCCTGTGTTTACTTCACTTTTGTTTTCTACACAGAATATCACACACCGTGAAGGAGTATTTAAAGTTCGATTAAGACAGACAGCTTTTTCTATTTCTAAAACTCAGCATTCTGTACATTAACGGTCATTATTCAACACGCATGTTCTCTATAGATATTCAGGCTATTAAAGGAGGTTCTCATTATTTGTCTTCAAGTATTGAAATACTCTTATGACACACAGATCAAAAATTTATCGATTTCTTTCCTAAACCGAAGCTCTTATGACACTGTTAACTTAAACAAGGTTATTGATAGGTTAAGAAAACGATTTTGTCATATATATAACTTTCTAGGTTTCTCTTAATACTGTTACAGTGGTTTAAGATAGAAAATAAAATTTAGTCGAAAAGGAAAATATTTAATTATGTTTTTATTTTGCCTATTGCATAAAAGAAAACTTTGGCACGTGACACTTTCAGAAGAATTACGCCCACATTCCTATTACGTCAGAGCGAGAGAAATAAGTGATAATTTGACAGAAAGAACAATAAACAAAGAAAAAGAGCATATATATGGTCAGTAATTTCATTTTTTGCTGAGGAAGGCTTATTTTTTACATTACACTGTAGCTGAAAATACAGAAAGTCTCGCTACATTACAAGCCTTTATGAAATATATCTTGCAAAAGCTAGCAATAAATCTGAAATCTTTCTCGAGTTTTATAACTTTTATATTTATTGGTCGATTCTCCGCCTGCTTTAAAATCAATAGTTTCTAATAGGTTTTTGACAGAAACAGCTGGGTTCTTATTATTACGATATCAGTTTTTTCGTGATTTTTATACAGCAATATATGTGAAACATTTTAAGTTTTCGACAAACCTAATTGTTCATGCTCGAATCGTATTAATTGGTTGTTTGTGTTTGAACCATATAAGAAATTAAGAAATTTCTCAATTTCTTCGTGGATTTTTTATTCAGCTTTATGAAATGTAATATAACCGTATATGCATATTGAATTACACAAAGTCGTGACAATATAATATACAGAAAAACGTTAGTAACGTGGTAGTTATTAACCTGTATTTTCGATTTGAACGTTTAGAAGATGTGTCTTTTAGATTTTTCTAATTTCGAGATGAGACTGTAAAAATGTATTTAACTGATTAAGAGAAACATTTGTGTAGCTTTTAATATTCTTCAATTGAAGCACCCATAACCACCAAGAATCAGACTGTATCAACAGCTAGTATTCTCAACGTAAAACAAACCTATCTATTGCAACTTTAGAAATTTATCATGTATTATCTTGTATCGATACAAGTTACTTGTAAGCATATACACAACCTATAAAACATATATACAGATTAAGCTTGTATAAGAGACATAATAACTATGTATCCTTCGCTGTATACATATACATTCACACTTACAAAATTATGTTGTTTGAGGAACGCTATTTCCTTTTGGGTGGTAAAGGTTGTTTGATACGCAAAATATTTGGTACTGTCCATATTTATTTTTCTTCAGAGATGCCAGTGGCATCTGTTACCTATTACATATATATTTATCTTTGTCGTGTTTGTTTAGAATTTGACCTCATATAATTGCAAGTGCAAGGTAGTCTGATTTATAGACATATTAAGCATTAAATTAGAAACTATATTCCTTAGAGATGTCATTAGTCAATTAGTGATTCCGATTTTGTGTTGCTTATAATTAGCTGAGGTAATATTGATTATAATGTACAAATTATATATATTTTAAAGAGTAACCTCAAATCATATCATCCACTAAAAAACAGCCCAGACGTTGCGAAACGTTTTATATGATACACGGGTCTGAGAATCCATCTTCTTTCGTCCTTTAACTTTTAGTTAAAAGATCGTGATATTCATGCTCGAGCCAAGTTTAAAGTCACAGAGAAACACAGATATAGTATATTTATTCATATAGTACAGTTTACAACATAAATTCTCTTCTGGAAGTCAAAGTTCGAAATATTAACAACAACAGGACTTTCAGTAACAGCAGTAGCAGGCAAAAGTTCTAAACATAAGGAAGAAAAAAATAATTAATGTATAAGCGGTACATTACAAGTTGAAGTTAACTGTTCTTACCTTAATTATTAGAGAGAAAAGTATACATTTATACAAACTTTATAAACACAATTTAATTCTGATATGAAATTATAACTTTTTTTTTACTTCATAAAAATATTTCTTAGAAATAGTAAACAGCAAATTTCTATACTTGTTACAATAATTGAAAGAAATTAAGTCAAATAAATATCTATATAAGTAGGAGGAAGCAAATTTATTAAACATTAATCATTGCTTAACATATTCAAATAAAGCTAACTGTTGTTACTTAGGCATTACAGGTTGATAATGTTTAAAGTAATTCACCACTATAGACTGCACTAAAATGTTTTGTTAGAATTCAATTACCTTGCAGCAGATCGCTGGATCTCTACTTCTGAATCTACTTAAAGTCATAAAACAAAGATATGTTACTTCTATTTGGTGTTCCATTATGATTTGAAAAAAACAACGACATATGTTCAAAAACTCGCTGTTATTAGATGATTCCAGCCACCTGGCACTTTTAAAATGATGATAAACTAACTATTAAGCATTCCACAGTAGTTCGAGCTAAATGTTTGTGACGTTGTCATCCAATTAATTATCATCATTATTTATTACAAAAACAAAACCAATTTCTACGTGTCTCTCAAGAGAAAATGGATTTTATGCGATTATCATCATTCGATAAAGGAATTTTCTTTAATGCACAAATATAGCAAAGTAAGAATTACAGTACAAACAAAATGATCTAAGTCAACGCTCTCACAGCTCATTCTGTTTACCTTAGGAAACAATTTAAATAATGATGTATATATTTATTTTCTGTCAAAAAATACCACTCTAAATTCAATTACGACGGTTATACGTATGTATATACACACCGACCTGTGTATTTCAAGTTCCAGATGAGTTACTAATCATAGCTGTATATATTTCAAATTATTCGTAAGGCACCTGTACGGCGAATTTTGTTATAATCACGATACTTATAAGCAGACAAAACATTAGTGTTTTGTAAACCCCTACTAAATTGAACTTAATACAAACAAGTTTTATAATGAAGAAAAACTCACAATCATTTACGCTGCTATTTAGTATTCACTAAAAGGATCGACTTTTTACAAATCAAAAATTGATATTTTATATCACAACGCATCAAAATGTCTAATTGTATTAGAACTATTCAAATATCTTTTCAAATTTTAACTTAACGTCAGGTAAGCTGTGACGATATTTCGAATGAACTAAATAATAATAAATAGCATATTTTAACTAACAAGAAACACATTCTCATCATTTCATGACTAAAAATCAACATCATTAAACATCTTACATGAAATATCGACAATGTCTCACCTTGTTGCGGATGTTAGGTTTTCATGATTAGGTTTGTTAGTTCTACTTTCAGTGTTTTAAGTAGTATAGATTTGGAATACATTCATTTACAGCAAATAAAAGACATAAGTTTTCTTCCAGAAAAATGACCAATGAATTGGTCACATTGAATTAGTTTCATCCATTCACTGTAAACGTTTTCGTATATTATATACAAAAATAACCTCATACACCTTCGAAGTATACTGTATATTACTGCTCACAGCTGCAAATCCACCTGTTTCCACCTATTTCCTTTATTACAAAAGGATACTATTACTGGTGATATTTTAAGTTGTAGTAAAGTAATACAACTCGATAATTATGTTTAACTTCGTCAAATTTATACCAATTATTCGTAAAATATTTCACCATATACACGGAGACATAAACATATAACAACACAGGCAATCACTCTAGTTCCTGGACCAGTTATATTAGTACAATATATAACAATAATAGTACGTAGATATCCTTCTGTTTTGATATAATGTATCTCGAACAATTAGTATGGGGTAGCTAGACACTTTATTTTTTGACACATTATATATTTAGTATTTATCCCATGTACTTTGTTCTTAAGATATCACTTTATATTCTTAACACATACAGTTCCAGATAAGTTCGTAATTTTTTACAGGTTTAGTAATGACAGCATTTCGTAAATAAATACGAATTTCACAAACACAGATATAAATAACTCACAATAACTAATGGATCATTTGGCATTACAAACACCACTCTGTAGCATCATTTTCTCAGTATATGATACACAGAAGCTTCCAGTAACCAAATCATTAGGTTATTTATGTACGCGTCACAGATTTATGAATCAGAACAATCAACAAAGAAAGAGAAAGAAGAACACATAAATCATTTTGACCTTGAGATACATAAATCATGTTGACCTTGGGATACAAAAATGGTTTTTATCTTATTTAAAATATTCTAAAACAAATTTGTAATAAATATGCTGAAAATTTGTATTTTCTTGATACGATATTATAATTTCTAGTTTATGTTAATGGGGGATGGGGTGATCGGATACACATCAAATGTTAAAAAACATTGTCTTTTAGACATCAAAGTTCGATACCAAATATTGGTGAATACACATGTGATATTGTCAGTTATATGGAAGTAGGCATAATGCTTAATATAGTGTCCTATGACTTGAAAGTTAAACAAGTTCTACACGGACAAATCTTACGCGCGCGCGCACACACAAGAATACGAAGTAGATTGATAGGCTAAAGTTATATTTAGAAGAACATCAGTCTTCAACAAATTTCGTCACCAAAACACACACACACACACACTTCTTTAGTTTTTTGCTCATTATACAAAGTGTAATAACTTAATTGATTCCAGAGTAAATCACTGAAGACGGATTACGTGTAATCCGAAACGTCCGAATAGAATGTTAGTTTTATCGTCTTCTTCACGTTCTTGGTCACATTGCAATATCTTGCTTATGACTCAGTTGTCCATATCTTCTTCTAATTTCGATTTAATCGGCACACTTATTCTGCACTAAAAAGACATGAACAATAAAAACATCCTGTACGAGGATTCACGTATGTTGTCTTCGTTTCAACAGCACATACGCAAATAAATGTCCTTACAATTATAGGTAAAATTTAAAATTAAATTAAGCGACTGTCTTCGTATCTGTCTTCATTTATATATATATATATATGTTCATTTGGAAAATATCGTTCACAAGTTTGAAGAGAAAGACAAAAATTTCCAAAATCCTGTAGGTGTTTGATACGAACGTAGCATATTGACTATTCTCTGCGGATACACATCATTGTAAACAATAATGTAAAACAATGTATAAAATCTAGTAACAAGTTTCAGGGCTTAAAGAAACGTCTACTTTTAGCGTATAATAGAATGCCCCCAAACATATACACCTGAATTAAACTCCACTTAACTTTACTAGCTAATCAGAACAGTTTGTGTTATTTTTGATATTTGTGTATATTATAATTCGTTCATACTTTTCGATTTTTTCTTAAAATTAATAGGGTACTTCTACACTTTTGCTGGTTGAGTTCTTTCACCTTTGACATTCGCGTTAAGCGCTGTGTTATCACTTGGAAATTTGAGAACGTTTGAAAAGGCTGAAAATCCATATTCTTCAGAAATTTGTAAATTCGGTAAGCTTTGTAATAGATGGCTTTCTGTGCCTGCTTCATGAGATGGAGAGCTTGCGTTGCTGTTGTTTTCACTTGAAGATGAAGAAGATAAAGAGATTAAACCCTGATCATTTACCAAGCTATTAAACGATCGTTCCGAATCTGTTGGACTATTTATCCCGCTGTAGACCACGTGAGGGCGCAAATAACCATCTCGAAATAAAGGCATATGGCGTGGTCGAGTAGATGACGTCAGAGAGGTTGGTAGTGTAGATTTTGCAGAATTCGGTGAAGCTATATCGAACTGTTTCAGTATCTCACTTTTGCAAGTGCTTCTGCCAATAGTGTCGTATTCCTGCCAATCAAAAGTGTGTTTATATTGAGATGTTGTTCTCGGTCTCACTCTGAAACTACTGATCGTCGGCTCACCATGGATTGCTTCGAATTCATGATTCTGCCTAGGGAAGTAAACACCTGGTGTGTAGGAGCAAAATCCGCTAGCTGTCGCATCGTTTCGGTATCTCCTCGACCCCAGATCACGGTCTGTGTGTTTTCGGCCCGAGGATAACGTTGAAGACGAGTTACTATTCTCGCCGTCAAACTCGGAACCTAAATCAAACTTGATTCCTAATCTTTTACTTCCAACCACGTGATCATGAGATCGAAATCCTACCATGGGGATAAGCGGGAGGACTGAAAAAATAAAAACCAACAAACAGCGGTCATTTATTTTTTCCGATCAACATAAACAAAAAATACAGATCTAGTTAATCTTTCTTGTATTTTGTGATATTATAATAATCAATAACTGTATCTATCCAGCAAATTGCTTTAATTAGTAGCTGTTTATCCCTTCTATTGAAAACAAAACAAGTTCATCAGATGAATAGATCTGTCTGTTTAGTAACATGCTAACTGTATGGGTGGGTAAGTTTTGTGCCCAAGTTTTCAATAAGCTTACTTTTACCAGCACAACAACAACAACAACAAAAAAAAAAAAAGTTAAGACAGATATAATAAATGGTTGAAATGTTTTTAACATATTTTGGTCAAAATGAAATGTGTTATATTATATTACTTACAAAGTAAATTCTTACCGGGTGTAGTAGCATCCAAAATATCTGTCTGTTTTCCCCGCTGTCCACTTTTTATTGTCCTCCATGACCCTTGGGCCAGCTGCACAAATCAATGGAATTTTCATTAATCTTTTTCAATGTTACAAATACATAAAAAATTTAACTTTCTCTTTATTATTAGGTTCACTGAGTTACGTGTATTAATAACCAGCAGAGTGACAACGTCCTCCAAAGTTAAAAAGCAACTATTACATTTCTTCTTGGCTACAGTAACCAAAAAAATATTTTCACTATACACTCTACAATTTGAAAGATCAGCTCATATTGTACAACTAAACATATTCTAAGACTCAACAGGTTACGTTCATTATTTAATGTTAACTAATACATTTAACATGGGATTGGAAAGATTGATCAAAATATGAAGAACCTATAAGTGCTACACCTGGCTGGAGAAACTGAGATCTCACACTTATTTGTAACTAGCCAAAGTACCGAGTTTCGCTGGTGTCATTAGATGGATATTTTACTGGTCGACTATGTCTCTGCGTGTATTTTGAACCTATTTTAGATATGAGATATAGCCAAAAATCTTTTTAAAAATTTTGTTTTTCCCAGAAACTTATAGAAGTCATAAATTTTATTGCATAATAATAAAAACACTTTTGCTGTAAGTTAGGAATTATTTACTTACATCTTAATGCTTTATCATTTCACTGGTAATTTCACATCACATTTAGATTACATATTCCTATCACATTTTATCACAATGTTTTGCACATTTTTTATCCTTGCAGTGCCTCAGGGTAGACAATATTGGCTACTTGTGCCATTTCTTCAATTAAAAAAAATAGAATGCAAAATTACATATTACAATTTTGTAAGATATACTTTATTTTCCGAGTTTTCGTGCACAATCTCCGTCACACCAAACATGCTCGCCCTTACGGCCGTGGGGGCGTTACAATGTGACGGTCAATCCCATTATTCGCTAATAAAAGAGTAGCCCAAGAGTTAGCGATGGGTGGTGATGACTAGCTGCCTTCCCTCTACTCTTACACTGCTAAATTAGGGACGGCTAGCGCAGATAGCCCTCGTGTAGCTTTGCGCGAAATTTGTAACAAACCAAACCAATCGTGTACAATTGTATGAATGAGAGGAAAATTAAACATTTTCAACTCCATTGTGTTTTCGTGCACCAAAATTCTTTAACTGTTTTGTTTGATGTCATTTTCCGAACCTTATTTATTCAAACCTTTTTTAGAATTATGGGGGTTTATTCCATGGGTTCTGGGAGATCCTGATACCTTTTTTTCCTTCCGTGTTGACTTTGACTGGCTAATAAATGTTTGGTCCTATATCCTATTGAATTGTGTTCATTTTTGGTAAAATATGTCCATTTTTTTTTCAAATGTTTGGCCAATTTTTGCCAGATTTTTTTTACTATTTTGTTTTATCTCAGTAGTATTTGGCAGAAAATCTCCACACATTGTGCAATCAGTAAATGAGAATTAGAAAAAAAATGATACTTTTCTATAAACCTTCAGGAAGCAGAATCAAAGGATATATGGCAAAAATATTGGTCAAAATATTTTTAGTCAAATCTAAACGATAATACCCAGGTACACACCCTCAGAATCCCCTTAGTAGTTTCAAGTCTCTAGGTTCTTTCCCCTTGGAGCTATGGCAGTCACATACACACAAACAGACAGGCTCTTTTATTATTATAAATTAAAGATAACAAGTGGATCTATATGTAAAGGAATGAGAAAAATCAAGCTATAGCCGTGTGTCGAGTTCACTAGTTTTAGACTTACTAGATAGATCAGGTTTTAAATAGATTCACTTTACTAGCATTTTAGCATCATTTTAAACTTACCGCTCTTATAAGTAAAGCTTTGATTCCCATATCTTTAAAGTGATTATGGAGAATTCTATGTAACACTATAACACACTTTATAGTTGAAAATGGAAGCTGTTTACTTATGAAACTGCAATCATTGAAAAAATGTATAATCACACAAAAGTATTTTTTATGTATATTTCTCAGACGAAAACCTATAAACATTGCTTATTTAACGCTTTACTAAGTCATGTTTAATTACTAATTCTGCCTTTTTTAACAGCAAACATAATAGCCGGAAAAGTTAAGTTAGAACAATATCTATATAAATAATACGCTTGCGTTTATCCGTCCGGAACTTTTATCGCAAATTTATCGATCAAACGCTACAAATCTCATATCGTTAGAAAGGCCTGTGTCCGAGGAGTCCGGATTGTATATTGGCTTTTCTATTCAGAATCACTTTACCTATTTTTTGCTTAGTCAAAAATTTTAATTCAACAAGCATGCTATATGATGGTACAATGTCGTTGTCATCATGTGACGACTGGCTTCGATTTCAACTTTAGTTTTTTTATTTGCAAAGTATTTCACATAAACAACACTTAACTCGGGTGTAATTTCCTAAAAAAAGATGAACATTACACTAAATACAATTACTATTGGCTTTCTCGACTTATTTAGGCCTAAAATACAAATGACCAGTTCGTTCAAAACCATTTACTTATCAGTTTGTCAACACGCATCCAGATATTTCTGCATATTCAGTTAAGTCTGCCTTCATTACAGCCTTACCTTTACTTTACTTTGAAATAACTTAGCTTCGGCTCGTTTCATAGAAACATCTCTTATCTGCTTTTTTCTTTAGTATGGGTTTTATTCTTTGTGACTTTCTTTGTTTCAAGTCGTAAATCCGTGTCATACACTGAACGCTCATAACTGTTTCATACTCTGTATGCTATTATAAATACCATTAATATACTTTATTGTTTATTTTACGTGTAGTTTTATTAGATAAAATTTGTTTATGTGACCACATAATTTTTTTTTTGAAATAGACCAAGATTTATCGATCTAACACGCAATGCCTGCAAGAAAGCGTAGCTTAAATGGCGTGCGTGAAAATGATAGAATAAGGAAAATTCAAGCGAAGGGCATGAAAACTACCGCAAGTGTTTTGCGGGTCGCGGCTAGTATAACAGTAATGGTATATAGTTCGTCCTATATTTTTATATAACGTGTCTCAAACAATGAATACAGTGTAACTAAGTAAGATACTTTATTTTTTTGGAACCACTGAATACTTAGTATTAATCCTATGTGTTTTAGTCTTAAAATGCTACATTATATTCTTAACACACATTTCCATAGTAACGTCAAATTAGAGGAATTTTTTGTATGTTTGTCATAAGGAAATCTAATCCACGGAGCTGGTTAATAACATATAGATTAACTTATCCAGTACAATATAACAGTTTAGGAACCTTCAGTTATATAGAGAAAGAAAATAAATTGACATCTTATGGGCTGGACAAAAGGACACGCTTCGTAGAATGAAATTAAAAGGCATTAAGACATTAGGAAAATTAAGCTGATGACGGAAAAGGAACATAGGGAAGTGCTCAACAACATTCATCATTAATTATACATTAGAAAGAGAAAGCTCGGGTACGAAGCAGCGTTGAGTATTACAGTCTGCAGGACTTTAACTACCAAGGCATCAAACTGAAAAGAAAATGGAGTTAAATAATAACACCTAGTGAGAACTCAAATTATACTCGTGTATAACACATTGAGATTCAGTTTATAGCAAAACACGTATATGAATAACAACAACGGCAACAAAACAAGCGATATGGAATTGCAATTTAGTAATGGAACACTAAAGTGAGACAAGAAAAGCAACAAAAGTCAGTAAGCATTAGGGAGAGCTTTCAGCCAGTAGCTTGTTACGAGGACAGGAGAGATCGTGCAACAACTGGACAAATATACCTGCAGACAAAGAAGAAACAGTAGAAGGGGTGGGAAGAACGTGAGTACCCACAATGTGATGGCCACTGATGGCGCTAGGTTGAGGTAGTATCATCAGTCCGTTGGTGTGTATGTAGAGGTTCGACTGGCTGTTTTGTGGCTTTCGGCAACACTCAGTTAACCATTGGGAACAACAGTGTGCTTTCTTCAGCCCTTTTCTCACCTAATTCGTAAAAAAAATACGAATAATTAATTTCTTACGCTATCTCGCTTATTTATCATGTCGTCATAGATGTGTTATTAATTGCCTTTTGATAAATACACAGAGAAAAATTACGACTATCATAGTTAAGTAATAACAGTCACTTAAGCGTGATCAAAGTTCTTTCATTGGTATTTTATTTAAAAATGTCTTCGAACAATATCATGTTGAAGTATAAAAAATGAAATAACAAACCAATTATCTAAAGTGTAAAACGCAGAGTTTCAAAATTATTAGAAAAATATTGAGTGAAACAAAAACAAAATAAATTATGATTTTTTTTCTTAAAACAATGCTTCTTTTTATGACGAAAGTAGAGAAGAGCTAATTTTTAGCTCAGAATTTACACAATTATTCACCCTAACTTTCTCACAAGAACTATGTTATTGATTTGTATTGAAAACATTAACTACCTCTTCCCAGGACAATCAGTTTAAAAATTAAATTTTGGGTTTCCTTGAGGTATCTGCTAACATAGAGAACATACCTACACCTGTGACAATACCTATTTCTCAATTACATCAAAGACAGTCAGAAAATGGCAGATTTAAGCCTTATTAAACTAATATCTTATATATTCTCATAGAGCTTTGTATTTAATATAAAGTTTTCGTCGGCTGAGATATGGTTTAACGATTAACTCACATAGAGCAAATAATTCTCAGTGATATCTTATAAGATTTTCCACAAAGGAAATGGAAAACCTTATATGTTATACAGAGACTTTAATGTAATCTCTTTAAGAGCTAGTTTGTTGTCTAGACTTTTTCCTTTTGTATTTCGTTCTCAATATCAAGAAGTAATGATAAAAAACACTACTGTTTGAATTTCCACAGCACTATTTTGGTTATCATATGATTTCTTATGCAATTCGCCTAAATGAAAATATGATAATACAAGAGAGTGAATATCTACAGACGTACTAATAAAAATCATAATTAGTATTTCAAATCAAGTAAAAGATAAAGATATATAGTAAAATCAATAGATTTCAGGAACGCTATGATTAGTTTCAGAACTTCTTTGTCGGAAGCAATAAAGGAAGCATAGTAAAATGAGCCTGAGAGGTTGAATTCATGTTCTTTCTTTCTAATTACTTCCACATTAAATGTATCCTCCCATTGTATATAAGAAAAAGGACAAGGTGTATCTGCAAACAACTACGATTTTACAGTAGATAGAATATTATTAAGGCAATAGAAAAGACTGTCTTAACTCATATGAAGTGATACTTTCTAGATCATCATTTGAATAAAGTAATATCTCAATCCTAGGCCTATTTTATGGAGTAAAAACAGAAATACTTGTTTTAATTTCTCGATGCTCCTATCTACACAAAGCAATGGTTAGGACAAATAGAAATGACTGGCTTTGTATTTAGTCAAATATTAAATATATCTGAATATCCTGAATATATTTCAAATATTTCTGTGCATCTCCAGCAGAAAACAGCAATCTCAAGAAGCCTAATCAGTCAGATAACTGTTTCTGGCTGCTGATAAATTTAAACTCCTAAAACTACAAAATACATTTATATTTTCTTTTTAGTTTTCTTAATCGAAATCATTGAAGTTCGGCATCGTCATTCGATTTATTTGTCTTCATGAAATTTTATATTTGATTTTACAGTCATTGTGGGTTTTCTGTCCCATACATTTTTACGCTTTTTTATGTGTTTATAATACTTTTATAACTAACGTTTGTATGGATCTAACTCACATTAGCGCATACAAAATAGTGAATAAAAGAAAATAACAAATTCTAAATTCTACATACCTTGGGATTTCTGAGGCATAATAAAACGAACATTAAAAGACCTTGAAGACTGTTGAGAGCTGTGAAGAGGTATACTGTCAATGATGTCTTCCACAGAAGAAACCACTGTGCTGATCCCCATGTCAGGATTAGCAGGATAAGCATACAGACACATTGCTGACAACAAGACCTAAAAGAAATATAAACAAAGCAGGATGTGTATACATTATTTAATTCTGATATGAGAATCCTTCTAAATTAGACTAAATTATGCCTCGCAACTTAGCACTAGATAACGTTTCAGGCGCACGGGAAACATTATACTGCGTCAAAACATTTAAATATTTACCACACATACGATACTATTTATCTATAACATGAATCAAATACTAAGTATTCGATTATTAATGGCTGGAGATGGCTTGAATGGGTAACGAAGAAAAACTTTAATATAAGTTTAACATAACAGCAAATGTACAACGTTTCGACAAGGTTTTGTCATCAGGTACATTTGCTGTTATGTTAAACTTATATTAAAGTTTTTCTTCGTTACCCATTCAAGCCATCTCCAGCCATTAATAATCGAATACTTAGTATTTG